GGGAGGAGCAGGAAGGAGGAGGAGGAGGTGGGAGGAGCAGGAAGGAGGAGGAGGAGAGGGAGAGGGATGGCAGGGGGGTGAGGAGAGGGAGCTGGGTGAGGCTTCGGGCCCGGGCAGCTGCTGGTGAGCATGGAGCCAACTTCCCAGGGCAGGCCTGGGATATGCTGGGTGGCGTCCCAGGGCCAAACCCCAGAACTGGCCCAAGGACCCTGAAGTCCCCTCTCCCTCGCCAGATCCCCTAAGCTCCCCAAGGCCTTGAGGTGTGGCCCCTCCTGCTGTCCTCACCAAGCCAACACAAACAAAGTGGCAGAAGTCATAGACCAAATAGGAGCTATTTATTCGGTTCACAGTCATGTGAAATGCAGCAATAAAAAATCTTTGGACTTCAGCAAGTTGTTTTAATTTTTTTTCTTTTGAAATAATAAAAAAGTGTCCAATGTCATATAATGGAGCTTAGGGGATTAAAAAAAGATGAAACCCTAAGCAGCCCCCTTCGCAAAAAAGAAAAAAAAAAACCATAAAATTAGCATAATCTCATAAACACAAAAAACTCAAAAAATATTTTATAGTCAGATATTTTGGATTTTATAACGCCTGTAAATTATATATACATAGAATATTGCAGAACCTTAGCGAACACACGATATTTTCACTGTTAATGCTGGTAGAATCTTTATACACTGGCCCTTTGTGATTTTCAATTATTGCATTGTTTCGCGCGGACTGAGACCTGGCCTCCACCCTCGCCCTACTCGCTGTCCGACTTGCCCTCCTTGGCCGTGGTGGAGTGATTGTACAGGCCCTGTGCCATGAGGTGCACGGCCAGCGTGTTCTTGTTGCCCGTGGCCTTCTTGATCTTGGCGCGCTTGTTCTGGAACCAGATCTTGATCTGGGACTCGTTGAGGCTGAGCTCCTGCGCCAGGCTCTGGCGCCGCTGCTCCGTCAGGTACCTGTTGGTCTGAAACTCAGCCTTGAGCCTCTGCAGCTGCTCGGCGGTGAAGGCCGTGCGCGGCCGCTTGTCCTCTTTGTTCGGGTTCTTCTTCTTTGGTTTTCGAGACCTGGGACCTGGGTAGGTGTGGTGGGCAGAGAGAAGCCAGGTTACCTAGAGGTGTGCCACCCAATAGGCACCGGGAAGGAGGCAGGGACCCCGAGAGGAGAAGTGACTCGTCCAAGGCCACTCAAGGCTGAATGGCCAGATGTGGAGCTGCACTTGGGACTGGGCATGGCCTCATGTTGACTCCACCATCTGGTGAGGGAGGAGTGGGTGTGGGGTACCTGGGGCTGTGGGGCAGGCCTAGTAGACAGGTTGATCACAAACCAGGGGTCTTTAGACAAAAGTAAAACTCCCAGGTTTAAGCAAAGCCCCCCAAACTTTCTTTCTGTGCTGGTTTTTCCTAGCCCTTTCTGAGGCTCTATTCAGGAACAGGGATGGGGGTAGGTGCTGGGAGAGAGGTGAGGGGAAAAGACCGATGAAGACTGCAGGGCAGTCACGGAAGCAGTGGGTTCCCTGGGGGCTGTGCTGGGGACCCTCATGGGGATACCCCACAGGGTGCCAAGGGCTGTGGGAATCAGGGCAGGTGGGCCCTGAGGACAGGAGGGGCTCCGAGTGTCTGCCTCCACCCAAGCTCCTATATGACTCCCAGCCCAGCGCTCTGTGGGCCAAGTTCACTCCTGTAAGGATGAGGCGGGCATGCACTTCCCTCCTGGGTGGGGAGGAGCACCAAGCTACTGGGGAGTCCTTCTTCACCCACTGGAAATCTCCCAGGTTTCCTGTCCAGAAGAGGGGATCTGGGTCTGGAAGGGTACTGACAATGGAGACCTGCACCTCCTTTTCCCCAGACGAGGGGCTGCTTCACTGCGGGCAGCAGAGTGGTCCAGCTGACCTTGCCAGGTCCACACTTCTGACACTACCCCCTGATTCAGACCCTGTCCTGGCCTCCTCGCTGTGGACCTGCCCGTGTTTGGGGCAGGATCGCTCTAAGGCTCCTAGAACCTGCTATCCACGGGGAAAGGGCAGAGGGAGGAGAGCAGAAGGAGGGACATATAATCAGTTTCTTTTTGGTGTTAAGAGGCTCAACCCCTTGGCATTCCCCATGAGGGAAGAGGTGGGCAAAGCCACTGGTGACAGGCAGTGGTGGCCTCGCCTCTGGGTTTCAATTTGTGAGGTGTGTGAATCAGCTTTAAGGAACATCTGGCCCCAGCTTCATCAGAGGTCCCTGCCACTGGAGGCCAGAGAAGGCTGGACCCTACAACCTTCAGGGCCAGAGAACTGCCAGGCACCCTGGGCAGCAGAGGACTGTGGATCACATTGCAGGCCCTGCGACTGCACCTGGCCAGGTCAAGAGAGTGGACGAGGGTGCTGCGGCTGTGCCCAGCAAGAGGCCCAGGGTGAATGCCAAGCACTCCCTCCCCGGCAACTGAGACTGGAGCTCTCTCCAGGAAACCAGCCTGGAGAAACAGAGTCTGTGGGCATCACCAAGGGGGCAACAAGGGCAGCTTATAAAGCAACCCACAGGCAGGCTCACCATTCGAGAGGGCACACACCCTACACTTGGGCACCCACCCCACGTGCACACTCAGGGACTGTCTTATACCCAGGGCTCCACATCAGTGGGCCTGGCTTTGGTGGGGGTAGGTGCAGATTTAGGCATGGGGGTTGGCCCTCTGGACCCGTGATGGGGGATGGGGCACAAGGCTCCAGGGGAGGCCCGGGCAAGACCAGCCCCAGCCTCTTGCTCCCAGAGCCCATCTCTGTCTCCATCTCCACTCCCTTCCCCAGAGAAGTTCGCGCCCTACCCCCAAACTCCTCTGGTCCTGGGGCTCTTGTTAATGCACCCATGAATCAGCCCTCAAAAAGATACCATTTTATGGAAAGAAATCTCCCTAAAATCAGAATTTTTAGTTCCCCCTTTTTTCTTGATTTTCTTTCAAAAGACAAATACTTAGGAGTCTCAGAAACAGAATCAAACCTCCCCAAGAAAACTCTCTCCGTCTCCGCCGCTTCTTTCGGAGACGCCAAATAAGAAAAATGTTATCTTGCAGGGATATGTTAAAGCCCATGAAGATCGGAGACTTGGGCTGGGCTAGGCCAGGCGGAGGGTGAGCCCAGCTCCGGGCAGTGGAGGCTGGAGCAGAACTCCAGCGTCGCCTCACAAAGCCCGGCCGAGGCTCCTCGCCCGGCATTGTGAGCCTGTATGTTAATTAAATATTAACAAAGGAGGAAGAAGAGAACAATGGAGCAAATTTCAGTTCTAGCTGGAGAAATCTGAATTCCATCAGAAATACACGCGTATTTCTTCAGGAAGACGGAGGAAGGGTGGCTCACTCCTGCTGTGATCTGGGCAAATGACCCCCGCAAAATAGTTGAAGGTTTGGGGGTAGCCGGGATCAGCTGCTAGCTCCAGGTCAAACAGCCCACTCCTAATGGCGGTTCCCAGCTGCAGATCCGCATGGAAAGCAGTTGATGATTTCTACAAGCACATGGACTTAGTTTTTTAAAATCCCAGATCTATGAAAAAACACACCCAGCATCTCTGCACGGCCCCTGCGAACGCTGCCTCTTTCCTATCGGCAGCCCCCAGGAAACCTTGCCAGAAGGTCCTTTCTACTGGGGAAGGCAGGTACGGGGAGGGACGCCCGCCTCCCTTGTCCTCGCTGTGTGCAGGAAGGGGGCTGAGCCCCACCGCTGCAGGCTGGCAAACAAAGTGGAGCCCAAGGAAAAGGGCGCCTTTATTTTCACCCTTCCCTGTGCGCGTCCTCCTCCGTCCCACCCGCCAGCGCAGGCCGGAGGAGCAGAAGGCAGAGCGGCAATGGGCCTCGCCTTTTCTTCCCCGACCACAGCCGGGATAACGGGATGTTAGTACAAGTCTGGGGTGGGTTGGGGCGGGGGTCCGGGCTGGTCTGAGTTAAAAGATCGCAGGGAAGAGGCTAAGAGTGCGCATTTCTGGCCCATCTTCCAGTCACTCCGTTCCCCGCACCCCCACCCCACAAAACACCAAAAACCCAGAAAACTACGGTGGAGGACGTGGGCTACGGGCTGCGAAGAGATGCCCCAAGGCCAGGTGGAAGAGAGAGAGAGGGGGGACGGGGGGGGGGAAGAGAGAGAGAGAGAGGAGGTCCTGCTGTCCTAAGAAGTCTGTACCCCCTAGCGAATCAGTCCTGCCGCTCGATGGACTCCTGGCCGCTGCCCCGGCCAACGTCAGCTTCACACATATGGTGTGAGTCTTTGTGCGAGTGTGCGGAGGAGGTTCGAGACGTTTTCCTCCCGCTAAGTTCCCGCGCCAGCACCGCCCCCCAGCTCCACGGACCTCCCTGCAGCGAGCCGGGATGCCTGGTCCCCGCGGGCTCACCTGAAGAAGGCCGGTCAGAGTAGCGCGTACAGTAGACCCAGGCCGGCCAGAGCATGGGCTGCGCACCCAGGGTGGCGCCGGCTTGCGAGCTGTCCGAGTCCGAGCTCACCGACAGGTCGCCGCCGCCCAAGCCGCGGGCCTTGAGCGCCCCGTCCAGGGGGCCGCCAGGGTCGCCGCCTTTCTTGGCGCCACCAAGCAGCGACAGTGTCTTGGAGCCGCCTTCCCCGTCCCCCGGAGAGTCGCTGCCGGCGGCGGGTAGCTGCCCGCCAGCCCCGGGCGCACACGACGGGTTCTGCCGGGGCTCTCGGGAGCCGGACCCCAAGAGCTGCTCGGAGCCGCCCGTGCCACCGCCTCCCTCCGCACCGCTCGCGCTGCCTTCGCCGCCGGCTCCGCCGCCCCTTCCTCCTCCCGCGCCCGCACAGCAGGTCCCCGCGTCCTTGCGCCGGCCGAACTCGGGCCGCAGGATGTTGTCGATGAAGAAGTTGGTGATGCGGTGCGGGTGCTGGTGGTTGCCGGGCGCCTGCAGGACCGCGGGCAGCATCAGAGGTCGCCGGTGCCCGGTGTCCGCTTCGCCCGGACTGCTGCTGCCGCCGCCGCCGCCGCCGCCGCCGCCCGAGCCACCGCCGGGGCTGGATTCCAGCTGCCGCTGTCCCTCCACCGCCGCGGCCGACGCTTCACCGGGCTTGGGGTCATTTTCCTCCATGCTGTTCACAGTAAATCCCAGACTGGTGCTCCGGGGACGCCCTTCCAAATCAGTCTTCGGCCCTCCCGCGGCGCACTCGGGGACCCCCGCGCCCCCACCCCGCCGAGTCTTCCGAGGGCGTGCGCGGCGGCCACGGCCAGGGCTGGGGTCCTAGAAGTCGCCGGCCGTGCTCGGCGCGGAGCCACGTTTGAATCCACGAACCGGGTTAGAAACACCACGAGCCGCCCCGCTCGCCCAGACGCCGGGAGATTCGGCAGAGCCAAGTCCTCGACTTCGCAGCGCGGCCGGGCTCTAGACAGTCACGAGAGTCCGGCGGGGACGCGGGCCGCCTCCCGGGCTCCGCGCTCCTCCAGGCGTCCAGCCGTCTCTGGCTCCGGCGCTGCAGCCTGGGCCGCCTGGGGCGAGAGCTGCGCGCATGCAGGCAGCGTGCTCTCCCGCGCTCACGCCTGCCGGTGCCGGCTTCGGCCGCCGCCGCCGCCCGGACGTCCCCGCCCGCGCGCCCCAGCCGGCCCTCGAGGGTGCGGGGCGCCCGCGGTCAGAGCGCCTGCTGCCGCCCGCACGCACATGGAGGCCCCCTCCGCGCGGCCGCCGCCCCGCTGCGGACCGGGGCGCCCCACCGGCGTGCGGCCGCGCCCCCGCCGAGCCCCGCGGAGCCCCGCGGCCCGAGTCGCATGGGTGAGGGACGCGAGGCCAGGGCCCGGCCGGGCCGGGCTGGGCCGCCCGCGCTCCCCGGCCTTCTGCCGCCCTCGCCGCCTCCGCTGCCGCTCGGGCTCGGAAATTTCCAGGCCACTCCGCGCAACCTGAGACACTTTCACTCTGGATTTTTGTTCTTATTTTTAACAGAGCCCCCTCGAGTGACGTCGCAGGCCGGTCTCCTGGACACGTGCCTCGGGCCAATGGCCGCGGCGCCTCGCGCCCACGTGACGCTGCGGCCGCCGCTGGGTGACAGGAGCTGCCCGCCGCCCCTCCCCCCCTTAAAGCGGCCGTGTCCCTCGCTCGGGGTGCGGGAGCCCGGGAACCCGGCGAGGCCCGGGATCGCGTCTCCTGTGCTCGCCCGCGCTTTCCCTGTCGCTCCGCAGTTCAGGGCTCTGAGCCACCCTGCGACGGCCCCGCCAGGTCATCCCGAGGCGCGTAGGTGGACACGCACAGGAAGGTCGCTATTTTTAACATTTCCATATTGTTTACCGTGGGGTGAAATCCCACAATTCCTTGCACAAAATGCATAAATAATATTAAATGAGCTGCCGAGATACAAAGGGACTTTTGTGGTCCGCTTTCCTTGCTGGTGGAGAGGATAGTGTCACTCTTATTTGACTCCGTAACCCGGCATCTTCCTGTCTTAAACGCAGAGCTGGCGCGCAGGACGCTCCTCCTGCAGACACTTATTGTAAGTGTGCATGTGTGTGCGTGTGCGTGTGCGTGTGCAGGGAGGCGCGTGCAGACGGCCGCATTACACCCGGGGACAGCGACCCTCATGAAACATGCATAGCGATCCGGAAGAGCCGGGAAATGCAGCGTGCCGCTAGGTTTGAGAAGGGAGAAATCCGGGAGCCTCGGAGGTTCTAAAGGAATCCTTTTTGAGAAGGAAAGGAGGGGTGGCGGTTCAGCGAAGCCTTCAAAACCAAATCGCCCGCCCCCCTCCAACTTCTCTGCACTGACTGAGGAGCTCCCAGACTGGTCATCTCATTTTCTTTATTTTAAAATCCTTTAAACTAGTTTTGCAGAGCAGGGCCAATTTGAAAGGAGAATTAGGAATCCAGTGGCACAGGTGGGAGCTCCAATTGGTTTCTCCCTCCTCTCTCTTCATAGATCTTTCTAGACTTTCCTTCCAGCTGTTGTCAGAGTGTCCAACTGGAAGTTCTGTTTCCTCTTCTCTTCCCCCTCCTCCCCCGGGCTCCTTCCTATTTGCTCTTCTCACTGGTTGTTACCCCAGGCTCTCCTGTCAGTCATCTAAAATGCATTTTTATGGAAATGTGTGAACTCCAGGAAACCTGCGAAAGGGCAGCTCTGAGGGTGCGGAGCGTTTGCACGCCATGAGTACCCTCATTGCCGGGAAGGCGGGGAGACTGCAACCTGGTCAGGCCATCCTAGGGCTGCTTGGCCCTGGGCAGCCTCGGGGTGCTCAGCAGCCCTGACCCCCGCAGAGGCAGCCAGTGGGGAGCTGCCAGGTCCTGGGTGAACTCCGAGAGTCTGGGGCAAGCACCTCCCAGGCAATGTGGCCTGCCAGGCCACCTGGAGGGCTGAAGGTTGCGCCTGGCCTCCCGTCCATCCCAGGGGCTGTCCCTAGCTCAGCAGGCTTCAGAATGCTGGCTAGGCTGCAAGAAGCAACAGTTCCCACAGCACCACTCCCAGGAAAATGAACCTCCCAGGAGGGGAGAGAGGTGTTGGGCTGGCCACCTGGCCACCACAGGTGGCTCTGGTCAGAGTGTGCCCTCTGTCCTCTGGTCTTGGGCAGGATGGGGAAGCCCCTTCTCACTGGGGCTGATTCCTCCACTTTTTCTTCATCGGAGGAGTCCTTACCAAATTTTCTGGCTAGGCACACTCCTGTCAGGGGTCCTCCCTGAGTCTCAAAGAATCAAACCTGCCCCCAGGAAAATAGGACCGGTGAGTTTTTGAGAAGTCTTATTGACACTTGGTTGTTTTTTTTTTTTTTGCGGTGGGGGGGTGTAGAATTTTCTGCAGCTCTGGGAACCTCGATGATCACCAGTCAGGAAAGGGATGATGCGATGACTTTGGGTCTCCTGAACCTGGTGTGGAGGGAGGGGGCCTCGAGCAGTTTTGCTCCCTGCAGAACCATCCCAGGCTAATGGCTCCATCTGTCCCACGAAAACCAATTAGGGGGCTTCCTGAGAAGTATTTTCTGAATTCTTAGGACTCTTTGCTTCTGAGAGCCTCAGTATATAAATGGCCCCAGGACGCTGGTCTTCAGCCCTGTGCTTTCCAGCCACCCAGATCCCAACTCGTGGCTGCAACAGAGCCTCTGGGAAGCATAGCGTCACCTCCAGGGCGCCAGGCCGGTGGGCGGAGACCTGCCCGCCCGGGGTCTGTGGGCCGCGCCACGGGGCTGGCTGGAGAAAGAAGAGGCATTTCGGGGTTGCTCACCTGGAAGGGAGGAGGGTGAGAGGTGGCGGGAAGAATAGGAGAAAGAAAGAAATGAAGAGATAACTCGAGGGTACCGGACCCCCCAAAGTGGACCCAAACACTAAACAACTGCGGGAAAGCGTTGAGAGAGGCACCTTTCAAAGGGCCCGGGAAGCTGGGATGGTGCTGCAGAAAGTTAAGCTGCCCAGGGGCTGGGCGGTGCCAAGCTCCACACACACGGCCCTCTCCGCAAGGTGTTTCAGGAAGCTTCGAGAAGCGCGCGTGAGGCCCGGGCCCGGCCTCCTGCCCCAGCTGGGACGGCGCCTGGCATTTTCTGGGGATGCGGAGCAGTGGCCTGTTTCTCCTCCGCGATGCCAGCCTCTGCTGCCACGCGCCTGCGAGCTCAGCGCCTCCGCTTTCTCCCCCCAAACGACCGCCGCCCTCACGTTCGGCCTTTCTGCTCGGATCAAACGAGCCCTCACCGGACATTTGTTTCTCCTAGCATGGAAAGTGAGGCTCCGGCCCGGGAACTCCGTTTTCCTTCTAGCCTCACCCGGGAATCGGAGAGACCCGCGACTACCCGCTTGCGGAGGACGGTCCTCCATATTTCCCAGGCTCGCTGCACAAAGAGGGACCTCGGAGAGGGCGAGCAGGAAAGCAGCTCCCAGACGCCGGGAGCTTCAGGACACGGACGCTAGTTTTGCAGACAAAACCTCGGCGAGGCACCCCGGAGACGCCGGGCTCCCGGCTGCAGAGTCGGCCTCCCGTTTTATCTAAAAACGAGGCCAGAGAAGGGTGACTTTTCCGGCACCTATGCGTCTCCTCACTCCCCTTGCTTCTCTAGGTTGACGGGACAATTGGAAAAATGGACTCAGTGAGAGCCTTTCACTCTTCACTCGCCACGGCCTTGTCACTCGCGGGACAGAGACGCCCAACAATCCCTGAGGGCGAGATCTCCACCCCAGTCAAAGCAGGCCGGCCCAGCCCTGCGCCCCCAGCCTTGAGCCGAGCCCCGCAGGGCCAGGCCCCAGGCGCCGGGCGGAGAATTGGGGCCGATTGGAGAGAAACATCTCCCCCGGGCGGTCAGAGAGCCACCCTCGCCTCCCGCTGCAGATGCTAAAACCCGACCTGCAGACAAAGGCCAAAACGCAGGGGCGCCGGGAGCAGGGGCGGGGCGGGCGGGGCCAGCGGGCGAAGAGGTTGTGTGTCTGCGCTCACCTCTGAGCGAAGGAGGACCGACCACAGTGCGAGCTCAGGGACGGAGTACCAGAGGCAGGGTCTAGGATTTGGGACTTCCTCGGAATAACCTCTGGAAGGAAGGCGTTAAATGAAGGACCGGCGGGCCTGCCAAGGGCTGGGAACTTCGTGGGAACTGGGGCGCTGGGCCCTCAGGTGCCAAGCGCTTCGCCTTTCCCCGCCCCAGGCCCGCCAGGGGCGCGTGTGGCGCGGGCCGAGTCTGGTGGGTGGGTTGGCGCCGGCAGAAGCTAGTCAGGGAAGGGCGGCAAGCAGTCGCATTGCACGTCCTGGTTCTTCCCGGTTCGCCGGAGAAGCGCCTGTGTTCAGCCAAAGCTCCTGGGTGTCGGGGAAGCAGAGTGGGCCAGGCGCCCACGGGGGACCGCCCTTCTGTCCTGGCTTGATGCTTGGCCCAGGCTCCCCCGGGAGGGGGGCAGCTGGGGGCAGGTGGGCAGATCTCCAGAGCTGGCGACTAAAAATGCAGAAACTGTCCCTCACCTGGTGTTTCTGGAAAGCGGTGGCTTCTGAATGAGAATCTGAAGGGTGGCTCTACTCGTGCGAACCATCCCCATACCCAAATCGGGACCTCTGTGTGCACTCCCCCTTCCGGCTCTCTAGCGCCGGGAGAGCCTTATTCTGGTTGACCTGCCTTCCCAGGAATCACCTTTTCTCTGCATCTCTCTGCCTGCACTCTTATCCTATTTTACTGCTGTTCTTATTCCCTAAAATTTGGACTCCTGTGGAAGGTGGGCCCACTTCCACTCAAGGCCCACCCCTGAGTCTCCCCAAACAGATCTGCACTCTGGAGTCTTCCTGGAGCCCCGGGAGGGGCTTGCCAGCACAAACTGTTTCACCACCTAATGTCTGCACTCATGGAAACGCCTCTTCAAAATCGCAGCCAGAAGACAGTAGCATCTCTCAAATAATCCAGAGTCAAATCAGTAAAATCAGTTTGACAAAGGAATTCGAAGAATGGCTTGAGCTGGCTAAGCACACCAAAACAGGAAGGAAAACACAGAAAAGGATAATGAGCTTTGAAATAAATTAACCACCTTCTCCAACCTGCAACCATTCACAGATGGAAGAAATT